CCAGACTATAGTCTATTCTATAGTCCAGTATATTCTATAGTTCAGACTATAGTCTATTCAGTAGTCCAGACTATAGTCTATTCTATAGTCCAGACCATAGTCTATTCTATAGTCCAGACTATAGTCTATTCTATAGTCCAGACTATAGTCTATTCTATAGTCCAGATTATAGTCTATTCTATAGTCCAGACTATAGTCTATTCTATAGTCCAGGCTATAGTCTATTCTATAATCCAGACTATAGTCTATTCTATAGTCCAGACTATAGTCTATTCTATAGTCCAGACTATAGTCTATTCTATAGTCCAGACTATAGTCTATTCTATAGTCCAGACGATAGTCTATTCTATAGTCCAGACTATAGTCTATTCTATAGTCCAGACTATAGTCTATTCTATAGTCCAGACTAGAGTCTATACTATAGTCCAGACTATAGTCTACTCTATAGTCCAGACTTTAGTCTACTCTATAGTCCAGACTATAGTCTACTCTATAGTCCAGACTATAGTCTACTCTATAGTCCAGACTATAGTCTACTCTATGATCTACTCTATGATCTACTCTATAGTTCAGACTATAGTCTACTCTATAGTCCAGACTATAGTTTACTCTTTACTCCAGACTATAGTCTACTCTATAGTCCAGACTATTGTCTACTCTGTAGTCCAGACTATAGTCTACTCTATAATCCAGACTGTAGTCTATTCTATAGTCTAGACTATAGTCTATTCTATAGTCCAAACTATAGTCTATTCTATAGTCCACACTATAGTCTATTCTATAGTCCAGACTATAGTCTACTCTATAGTGCAGACTATAGTCTACTCTATAGTCCAGACTGTAGTCTATTCTATAGTCCAGACTATAGTCTACTCTATAGTCCAGACTATAGTCTACTCTATAGTGCAGACTATAGTCTACTCTATAGTTCAGACTATAGTCTGCTCTATAGTCCAGACTATAGTCTACTCTATAGTCCAGACTATAGTCTACTCTACAGTCCAGACTATAGTCTACTCTATAGTCCAGACTATAGTCTACTCTATAGTGCAGACTATAGTCTACTCTATAGTGCAGACTATAGTCTACTCTATAGTCCAGACTATAGTCTACTCTATAGTCCACACTATAGTTTACTCTATTTTCTATAAATAGAGAATTTAAAGAATTTTTTGGAAAAATTCTCGGGAATATCAAGTATGAAGACACTAACACTGCACACAACTTACCAATTCTTCTAACTACTACACATATACATACATATGTATGTATATTCATATCTGTAATATAAATTATAATGACATACAACAGCAACAGTAGTACCAACAACAACAACCAGTGTTTATGCAACTGCAACTAGTAAAGTTATCATTGGTATCATTGGTAAACCGAAGCCAAACTAAACTTGACATTATGGGCCTTTTGTTATTTTATTGTCTAAAGGAAAATTTAATTAAGATAAATGTCTCATTAACAATATAAGAGACAATGTCATTAAATTGAACAATAACATAAACATATTTCAAAAATACTTGTTTGTACTTGTACAAGGAGATTTTCTTGACTAAAGCCTTAAGGTTTTCTATATGAAAAGTGTTATGTGGAAAATTGCAGAGAAAAGCCATAAGAATATTTATGTTGAATAGTATTGAAATTAATTAGTAGATTTTAAACAAAGACAGGCGTTACCAGATGTAGCGGTTTGTTCTCAAATTTGGGGATTTTAACTATTTTTGGGGGATAGATTGAGACAAATTAAAGTAAAATCTCTTTAGGCGTTTTTATAGTTGATAATCTGGCAACTATTAACTAAACTAATTTATATGACATCCTTAAAGTAGGCTAGCTTTTATGATAAAATGGCTTATTGTTGTAATCACTATAACGATAACATTTCATAGCATATTTTAGGGCAAACTTTTAATATGTTTATGATATTTAGCTTTTAGCTGTGGGAATTTTAATTTGTAATAAATAAAACTCTTAAATTTTTTTAAATATTTTTTTAATAATTTATTTAGAATATCTTTATATTTTATAACTCTACGTTAACTACATGTTAAATATCGTTTTTGTTGTTTTGTTTTTGTAGTTTTTAAATCTAAAAAAAATTATATTATAATTAAATTTTCTTTGTCATAAAACTACTTATTTTTAAATACGTTCTTTTTGTGTTTTGTTGTTTTTGTTTTGTTCTTTGAATAGAAGGCTTATTATTGTTGCATTTATTGAACTATTTTTTTATGTATTTCATTTATTTTTAATTAATAATTTTTTTATATTTTTTTAAATACTTTCATTTCAATGATACTGTTTTCTTAAAAACTATCCTAAAAAAAAAGAGTTTCAACAGTCCTGGTTTTAGAAAAGAGTTTATAGGAATAGTTTACAAATGGAAAATAATGTTTAAATTGTAAAGACTTTTATTATGGATTGAACAATTTGCAAGCAAGTTTTCCTTTTATACAGCTATTAGTTTTAAAATCTTGGAGCTATGAAAAAATAACTGTTTGTTGGTAGAAAAACTACTGAGTATAAATGTTAATAATACTATTTAGTTAAATGCAATTATTTATTTGTTACTTAAGGAGTACATTTTTATTTTGTGGATTTTAAATTATAGTAATGCCTAAGCTTTGTTACCGAATTAGATACGACCATGTTCTTGTTCTTTAAAGAGTCTTTTGTCTATAGTCGCGACAATGGTCTTCTTTGTTGTCGCGACAATAGTCTTATCTACAGTCGAAACTATAGTCTAGTCTATAGCAAAAACTATAGTCTGACTATAGCAGAAACTATAGTCTGGTGTATATGCGAGATTATAGTCTGGTCTATAGACGAGACTATAGTCTATAGAAGAGACTATAGTCTGGTCTATAGAAGAGTCTATAGTCTGGTCTACAGTCGAGACTATAGTCTGGTCTATAGTCGATACTATTGTCTAGTCTATAGACGACACTATAGTCTGTCTATAGTCGAGACCATAGTCTGATGTATAGTCTAGACTATTGTCTGGTCTATAGAAGAGACTATAGTCTGGGTTCTAGACGAGATTATAGTCTGGTCTAGTCTGGTTCATAGCAGAGACATTAGTCTGATCTATAGTAAAGAGTCTATAGTCTGGTCTATAGTAGAAACTATTGTCCGGTCTATAGTAGAGAATATAGTCTGGTCTATATTAGAGACATTAGTCTGGTCTATAGAAGAGAGTATAGTCTGGTCCACAGTAGAGACATTAATTAGTCTGGTCTATAGTAGAGAGTATAGTCTGGTCTATAGTAGGGACTATATTCTGGTCTATAGTAGAGAGTATAGTCTGGTCTATAGTAGGGACTATATTCTGGTCTATAGTAGAGAGTATAGTCTGGTCTATAGTAGGGACTATATTCTGGTCTATAGTAGGGACTATATTCTGGTCTATAGTAGAGACTATAGTCTGGTCCATAGTAGAAACATTAGTCTGGTCTATAGTAGAGAGTATAGTCTGGTCTATAGTAGGGACTATATTCTGGTCTATAGTAGAGAGTATAGTCTGGTCTATAGTAGGGACTATATTCTGGTCTATAGTAGAGAGTATAGTCTGGTCTATAGTAGGGACTATATTCTGGTCTATAGTAGAGAGTATAGTCTGGTCTATAGTAGGGACTATATTCTGGTCTATAGTAGGGACTATATTCTGGTCTATAGTAGAGACTATAGTCTGGTCCGTAGTAGAGACATTAGTCTGGTCTATAGTAGGGACTATATTCTGGTCTATGGTAGAGAGTATAGTCTGGTCTATAGTCGAGACTATATTCTGGCCTATAGTAGAGACAATATTCTGGTCTATAGTATAGACTATAGTCTCGTCTATAGTAGAGAGTATAGTCTTGTCTATAGTAGAGACTATAGTCTGGTCTATAGAAGAGACATTAGTCTGGTCCATAGTAGACATTAGTCTGGTCTATAGTAGAGAGTATAGTCTGGTCTATAGTAGGGACTATATTCTGGTCTATAGTAGAGACTATAGTCTGGTCCATAGTAGAGACATTAGTCTGGTCTATAGTAGAGAATATAGTCTGGTCTATAGTAGGGACTATATTCTGGTCTATAGTAGAGAGTATAGTCTGGTCTATAGTAGGGACTATATTCTGGTCTATAGTAGAGACTATAGTCTGGTCCATAGTAGAGACATTAGTCTGGTCTATAGTAGAGAGTATAGTCTGGTCTATAGTAAAGAGTATAGTCTGGTCTATAATATAAACTATAGTCTGGTCCATAGTAGAGACTATAATCTGGTCTATAGTAGAGGCTATAGTCTGGTCTATAGTAGAGACTATAGTCTGGTCTATAGTAGAGGGTATAGTCTGATCTATAGTAGAGACTATAGTCTGGTCTATAGTCGAGACTATTGTCCGGTCTATATTAGAGAGTATAGTCTGGTGAATAGAAGCTATAGTCTGATTCATAGCAGAGACATTAGTGTGATCTATTGTAGAGAATATAGTCTGGTCTGAAAAGACTATTGTCCGGTCTATTGCCCGATCTATAGTATAGAGTATAGAGAGTATTGTCTGCTCTATAAACCAGACTATAATCACGTCTATAAACAAGATTAGACTTTGGTTCAAAGACGAGACTATAGTCTGGTTTATAGACTAGGACTATAGTGTTGTCCATAAGAGAGACTATAGTCATATATTTAGTTGAGATTATGGCCTTGTCAATAGTCGAGTATATATTCTGTTCTATAGTCGAGTCCTTAAAGTCGTCTATAGTCCTTGTATATAGTCGAAACTTTGGTTTGGTTTTAAGCCGAAATTAAGGTTTGGTCTAAAGTCAAGACTATAATCTGATCAAAAGAAGACTATAGTCCACTCTAGAGGTTATTGGCGATGATTTTGACTAGTCTATAGTCGGAAAAATTTAATTTACATTATAAAGTTTGTGTTTAATCGGGAACATAGCCTTATCTTTAGTAATTTCAAATTAATATAAAATGAGGATCAAAATTTGCTTTTTTAATTACAGTTTATTCAAAATAATAATGCCAACAAAATATAATAAAAAGATTAAATCAAATTAAACATTAATAAGTAGTCTGCGTCATTTAAAAATTTGGTTTAGTAAAGAATAGATGATAAAAATTTTAATTAAAATCAAACAATTACAAATCATAAACATTGAAAAATTAACCTCATATTCATAATCAATACTTAAATTTAACCAAGTTTTATAAAATAAAATTTTCTTCCTAAATGTTATTTTATAAAACTTTAATAAATTTAAAAATTACTTATAAAAAAGTCGTAAAAATACAAATTAAAGAAAAATATTTGCAACAAAATTGTGCTTACATATTAATTCTAACTTTTAATCTATATAATAAACTAATCATATATAGTTTTTGTAATTATTCTTAACTTTTAAAAAATAGGACTTTGTTATTAAAGCGTTGTTTTTAATTGTTTTTCAAAAATTCCATTTTCTTGTTGTTAATTGGTCGTTATGTCTACATACAATATATTTTGTTGTTGTGGTCAAATTATATTTTGTTTGTGTGTTTTTATTAAATAAATATTCCAAAACACATATATTAAACCGGTATACCAGTACGATCTTTAATTTTGCCCAAAACATTATGATGAACTTTGGCATAACCACTGGACTTTTTGCCCAAAGTACCCATACTACCGGTGGGTATATTACCTAAAGGTGGTGTAGTAGTAGCACCAGGCACATCAATCGAAGAAGTAGACAAGGGGGAAGAATGCTTTGAATCACCCTGCTGTAACATTGATCTATGAGTTGATTCCTGGGATAATAATAAATCATCACTACTTGGTCGCATTTGCGAAGAAGAGGGTGTATAAATTGGTTGTAATTTTTCCACTTCATCATCGATAGCCTTAAATTGCCAACTCCAGTTGGCACGATACAAGAAGGGGCGATGATCGAAACGATTATCATCGGGACTATAACTTTCAGCGTGTACTGAGGGTGTTAATACGGTCATTTTATGACGATTAATGGCATAACATCTAAAGAAATGTTTAACTTTATCGGCTACTTCTTTGGGACTGAGGTCACCCTTCCAGGTGGATACTAGTTTACAGAACATGCTGTAGGGTCCACAGCAGGCTTGTTTACGCAAACGTCCATATTCGCTTAGTTCAGCATAAGTCATGCCCATATCTTGTTCATCGGTCTGCATGAGTTGACCATCTTGTAAAGGCTCCAATTCAGCTGTGGGTGGAGCATCAATAATTGACTCAAGTATAGGAAGGCTAAACCTGGAAATGGGAACAGAGGAAGTAATTTTGATTACATGATTATTAATTGTTCTACTAATAGATAATGCTATAGTCTTGTCTATAGTCCAGACTATAGTATTGAGTACAGTCCATACTATAGTCTAGTCTATATTCCAGACTATTGTCAATTCGATAGTCAGTCTGTAGTAGACTATAGTCTTGTCTATTGTCCAGACTATAGTGTAGTCTATAGTCCAGACAATAGTTTAGTCTTTAGTCCAGACAATAGTTTAGTCTTTACTCCAGACAATAGTTTAGTCTTTAGTCCAGACAATAGTCTAGTCTATAGTCCAGACAATAGTCTAATCTATAGTCCAGACAATAGTCTAGTATGTAGTCCAGACTATATTCTAGTCTATAGTCAAGATTATATTGTAGTCGATAGTCAAGACTATATTCTAGTCTATAGTCTAGTCCAGACTATAGGCTAGTATATAGTCCAGCCAATAGTCTAGTCTATAGTTTAGACAATAGTCTAGTCTATAGTTCAGACTATAGTCTAGTCTATAGTCCAGCCAATAGTCTAGTCTATAGTTTAGACAATAGCCCAGTCTATAGTCCAGGCAATAGTCTAGCCTATAGTCCAGGCAATAGTCTAGTCTATTGTCCAGACTATAGTCTAGTCTATTGTCCGGACTATAGTCTAGTCTATAGTCCAGACTATATTCTAGTCTATTGTCCAGACAATTGTTTAGTATTTAGTCCAGACAATAGTTTGGTCTATAGTCCGGACAATAGTCTAGTCTTTAGTCCAGAATATATCCTAGTCAATAGTCTAGTCTATAGTCCAGACAATAATCTAGTCCATAGTCCAGACAATAGTCTAGTTTTTAGTCCAGACTATACTCTGGCCTATAGTGCAGGCTATAGTCTACCGTATAGTTTAGACTATAATATAGTTTATAGTCCAACTATAGTCTATATTCCAGACTATAGTCAAGTCGATAGTCCAAACTGTAGTGTAGTCTATAGTCTAGTCCATAGTGCTTCCTATAGTTCAGTTTATAGTATTTTTTATAATTAGATGATTGATGATCTTCAACTCACTTGTCTTTGGCATAAATCAAAAATCTTCTCAAATCCGTTTTCGAAATGCCACCTATAGGATTAATATCGGCCGAAGAACAATCGTATTTCGTCAAATAACCTCTCAGGGACTCGTCAACGTTGGCCGAACCCAAAACTAACAAACCACCAGGACGATTACGGACCCACAACATCAGCTGAGCAAATATATATGCCAAGACCATACGTATACGTGATTGAATATTTTGTAAGGCTAAATTTTGTCTGGCACAACCACCCTGGGTGCGAAAACGGGGCGTCAAACCAGTAACAGCATTAAAAATACCCAATAAGGCATTAACGGCAGTATCGATGCTAATTTCGATGTGATAACTACCCAATTGATTGGCCAATATAGAGGCACGACGTCTTGTCTCTTTGCTAGAATTGACACTGCCCATAAAACAGGTAACCAATAAGCGATTACATAAGGCCGCTGGATTGTCGGGTGTATACTCCTGATCCGCCAATATTTTACGTATATCATAGAGAACCTGTGAATCTCCTGCTTGTACAGCACTAACAATCATTCTACACATGGAGTGCACAATGGTGGCTGAACTACTGGAATCAACACCACCCGATAGGGGTAAAAAGAAACCACCCTGCCCCGATCTACGTAAATAGTCCCACAGCCAGCAAGCAGGACCCATAGCTATCTCCTCTTCTGGTGTATGATAGATCCATTGCAGGGGAGTATTGGCAGTTTTAAATATATCACTATGTGTGGACATTTCAAAATCACAATTGATACGTGGATAATTGGGAGCCTCAGCCGCTTCGGTGCATCTAGAACGACGTGTTACGCGATAGGAACGTATATCTTCTAAATCAATAGTGGCAAGAGTAACTTCAACATCTTGCAAAGCAAATTGTTTACTTCTTGCCACAATTTCGCCATTGAGAGCTATAGAAGAGCAGCCATTAAAATAGACACGTTGACCATCACAGCCTCTAAGATTGCTAAAGAGATAGGCACCACCAGCCTTAAAACTGGCACTACGTACTAATTCGGTGGTAATATAGGCTTTACGCAACTCCATATAACTACCAGAGCCATTCGAAATAATCTCAACGCCCGACAACGACATATCGATGTGTTTGCTGCAAAAAAAGAGAGAGTGAGTGAGAAAAAAGATCTTGGAATTATCATAAAAATTTCACCTTTTAACATTCCACAATTCCTCGCAAATCTCATAACCTATACAAGTATCCTTAGTAGCAATAACAGCATCACCAAAGGGCACCGTATCTTGGCCAGTATGTTGCGAGATCATGCGCGGCAAATAGTGATCCTCAGTTTTGAAATTCTAAAATTTGTATGGATTAAATAATGATTTAAAAGAAAATGGCAAATAAATATTTCAACTAACCTTAGTCCAAGCTGTAAACCATCTGGATTCTCTATAATTACCATCATCACACATAGACATCTTGGGACGTATGAGTAATATTTTACGATTAAAGAAGGCTACACGACAATTATAGGCCACATTACGATGCATTATTGGCATACCGACATCGACCAAAATATTTTCACTTTAATTTAAAAATGATTTTAAAAAGTATTCCTTTAAAAGAGGAGTTAAATATAAACTCACCATATGGGTGACATCATGATTTCAAGTAGAACCTCCCAAGAGTGTAAAAAAGTATCGGGTTCGCGAAAATGATCTTCACAGCTGTAGCCACTGTTATGGAGAAATAATGGGAAATTTCAGTAAAATAAAATGTTGCAATTTTTCATCTAGAGACTCGATAGAATAGATCACGGTCTCGACTTTCCAACAGTCTATAGTCTGGACTATAGAGTGGATTCTAGATCACGCCATTTTCTCGATTATATATCAGACTATAGGCTCGCCTATAGTTTAGACTACGGGACGAAATATCAGGCTATTTTTCAACGATAGATCAGACTAGTCTCGACAATAGATCATACTATAATCTTGACTATAGAATAGAGTACAACCTCGACCATAAATCGTACTATAGTCCTATCTATAGATCAGACTATTGTTTTGACTTTAGATTAAACTATGATCTTAATTATAGATCAGAATATAGTCTTGATTATAGATCAGACTATAGCCTTGACTATCAGTGTATAGTCTTGAGCATAAACCAGTGTATAGTCTCGACTATAGATCAGTCTTGACTATAGATCAAACTATAGATCAGCGTATAGTCTTGACTATAGAACAGAATATAGTCTTTACTATAGATTAGACTATAGTCTTGAATATCGATTATACTATAGTCTTGTCTTTTGATCAGGCCATAGTCTTGACTATAGATCAGAATATAGTCTTGACTACAGATCAGAATATAGTCTTGACTACAGATCAGACTATAGTCTTGACTATAGATCAGACTATAAGCTTGACAATAGATTAGACTATAGTCTTGACTATAGATTAGACTATAGTCTTGACTATAGATCAGACTATAGTCTTGACTATAGATCAGAATATAGTCTTGACTGTAGATCAGACTATAGTCTTGACTATAGATCAGACTATAGTATTAACCACAGATCTGAATATAGTCTTAACCATAGATCAGAATAAAGTCTAGACTATAGATCAGACCATAGTCTTGACTATATATCAGACTATAGTCTTGACTATAGATCAGACCATAGTCTTGACTATTGATCAGACTATAGTCTTGACTTTAGATCAGACTATATTCTTGACTATAGATCAGACTATATTCTTGACTATAGATCAGACTATAGTCTTGACTATAGACCAGGTTATATATAGTCTTTACTATAGATGAGACTATAGCCTTGACTATCAGTGTATAGTCTTGACTATAGATCAGACTATAGTTTTGACTATAGATCAGCGTATAGCCTTTACTATAGATTATACTATAGTCTTGAATATCGATTAGACTATAGTCTTGACTATAGATCAGAATATAGTCTTTACTATAGATTAGACTATAGCCTTGACTATAGATCAGAATATAGTCTTGGCTATAGATTAGAATATAGCCTTGACTATAGATCAGACTACAGTCTTGACTATAAATCAGACTATAGTCTTGACTACAGAGCAGACTATAGTCATGACTATAGATCAGAATATAATCTTGACTATAGATCAGAATATAGTCTTGACTACAGATCAGAATTTAGTCTTGACTATAGATCAGGTTATATATAGTCTTTAATATAAATGAGACTATAGACTTGACTATCAGTGTATATTCTTGACTATAGATCAGTGCATAGTCTTGACTATAGATCAAACTATAGTTTTGACTATAGATCAGCGTATAGCCTTTATTATAGATTAGAATATAGTCTTGAATGTCGATTGGACTATAGTCTTGACTATAGATCAGGCCATAGTCTTGACTATAGATCAGAATATAGTCTTTACTATAGATCAGACTATAGTCTTTACTATCGATCAGAATATAGTCTTGACTATAGAACAAACTATAGACTTGACTATAGATTAGACTACAGAGTCGACTATTGATCAGGATATAGTCTTGCCTATAGATTACACTATTATCTTGACTACAGATCAGATTATAGTCTTGATCATAGATCATACTGGAGCTGATTTCGACTTGTCTATAGACCATAATATACTCTTTACCCTAGAACAGGCTATAGTCGGGACTATAGATCAAACTATAAAGTCCAAAGTTGAAAAGATTCATTTGCATTAAATCCACTTACCAAACTTCCAATTCTGGTCCCGTACGATATGAAGCACCCATATCTTTGGCTTCTAAAATCGACTGAAGAATACGAGCCAAATTACCCTCAAAATCTAAGGCCCATTGATTTAAGGTCGAAACGGCAACAGTTACTTTACGACCCATGTTGATGGCGTTGTTATAATAGAACGGCTAAATAGTGTAAATAAACTGGACTGGTCGGAGTGGGAAGTTTCTTGAGTTATTGTCAAGTATTGTTTTTATTTCGGATGAAAACAAATTGTTGATTCGTTGTAAATACGAAGACTAAAGTATTATTGTATTGAGAAGTTGGTAGAGCAGCAGTAGGTTGGTGGTTTTAATAAATTATAATTATTTTTTTTTATTATTATTATTAAACAGGGGAAGGCAAATACGTCATATGAAATTTGGTAAAAACACGCAGCAACAAGTTTAATAAGCTGAAAATATATATATATAAAAATATGACATTATTAATAAAATTTTATTATAAAATGTAAGTAATTATTTTAGTATTTTTAACTGTAATTAATAAACTTGCGTTATTTACTGTTGACAGCTGTAATTTTAAATATTCTAAAACTAAGTTCGACATAAAGATTTTATTTTTGTTTAGTTAAAAGTTAAAAATAATTCTATTGCAATGTCTACTATAATTAAAGGTTAAGCAATGTTTTCTTACGTACAAAATAATTTAACAATGTTTTTATTAATGTTTCTGTTGTTGCACGCTTTCGTAATGTTTATAGTGAAATGTTGAAATTTTATTTAGAAATTCAGTGAAATTGTATTGAATTGCAAGGATAACGTGTAAATACGTCAAAAAACAAATTTGTTAGATACGAGTATTTTTAGTCTCCTTGTAGAAGCTAACTCTACATGTACAATTATAGAAATGAACAATAAAAAAAGACAAGTTTATAGTGAGGAAAATAATTGTAGGATAAGTCAATTCTATAGTTATGACAATATTTTTTTTCTATTTTATATTCTATATTCCAAACTATAGTCCATTCCATAGCCTACTCTATAGTCCAGACTATTGTCTATTCAATTGTCCAGACTGTAGTCTATTTTACAGTTTATTCTATAGACCAGATTATATCCTATTCTATAGTCCAGACTATAGCCTATTCTATAGCACAGACTATAATCTATTCTGTAGTTCAAAATATAGTTTATTTCTTACTAGTCCTTACTAGACTATTTTAAATTCTACTCAACAGTCCTGACTATAGTCTATTGTATAGTCCATAGTACAGAGTATGCAGTCCATTCTATAGTCCAGACTATAGTCTATTCTATAGTCCAGACTGTAGTCTATTCTATTGTCCAGACTATAGTCTATTCTATATTCCACACTATAGTCTATTCTATAGTCCAGACTATAGTGAATTCCAAAGTCCAGACTTTAGCCTATACTATAGTCCAGACTGTACACTATTCTATAGTCCAGAGTGCAGTCTAGTTTATAGTCCTGGCTGTAGTCTAGTCTAAAATCCAGATTGCAGTCTATTCTACAGTCTATTCTATAGTCCAGACTATAGACTATTCTATAGTCCAGACTATAGACTATTCTATAGTCCAGACTATAGACTATTCTATAGTCCAGATTATAGACTATTCTATAGTCCAGACTAATGACCATTCTTTAGCCCAGACTATAGTCCAGACTACAGTTCATTCTATAGTCCAGACTATAATCTATTCTACAGTCCAGATTCTAGTCTAGTCTAAAGTTCAGACTGTATTCTAGTCAACAGTCCAGACTGCAGTCTACGCTATAGTTCAGGCCATAGTCTATTCTATAGTCCAGACTACAGTCTATTCTATAGTTAAGACTATAGTCTATTCTGCAGTTCAGAGTATAGTCAATACTATATAGTCCATGCTATAATCAAGATTATAGTCCATTCTATAGTCCAGACAATAGTCCATTCTATAGTGCAGACAATAGTGTATTCTATAGTCCAGACTATAGTCTATTCTGTAGTCCACTCTATAGTTGTTTTATACTCCAGACTATAGCATATACTATAGTTTAGACTGCAGTCTATTCCATAGTATACTCTATAGTACAAACTACAGTCTAGTCTATAGTCCAGGATGTAGTCTAGTCTATAGTCCAGACTGTAGTCTATTCTACAGTCCAGACAATAGTATATTTTATAGTCCAGACGAAAACCTATTCTATAGTCCAGATTATAGTCTATTCTATAATCCTGACTATAGCCTATACTATAGTCTAGTCTACAGTTTAGACTATAGTCTAGCTATACTCCATGTTATTGACTATTCTATAGTCCAGACTATGGATTATTCTTTAGCTCTAGACCATTGTCCTGACAAGAATACAGACTATACCCCTGACTACTGTCCAGGCTACAGTCCTGACTGTAGTCTAGTCTATAGAACAGGCCATAGTTTGTTCTTTAGTTCAGAATATAAGACAAAATATAGGTATTATATGGTCTATTATATTGTCCAGAATATAGTTTATTCATATAGTCGGGAATGTAGTTAAGCCTATAGTTAGTTGACCTGTAATTATTTTCCTTACTGTACTTACGATTATAGGTGCATGTATTATTGTTATTATTACAGCAGTTACTGACGTCTGCAGGTTTCGGTTTTTCTTTCTTCATAGAAAATATTGTTTATTTTTGTAAATTTTGTAGGCGTATTTCGAATAGTAGACTGACATCATAGGAAAATATACTACAACTAACTACTGACTAGTAACAAACTAAAGCTTATAGCTAAAGAAAAATCCATGAAGGGTGTTAAAATTTCGACACTTTCCTTTAACTCAAGAGAAAATACTTTTTTTTTTGAGACAGCCAAACAACCAGCCAGTTTCCATTAAATAGGGTTGAATGTGGAAAAACAAAATTATTTGAAAGGGGGGACGCAGGTTTATGGAAGGAAGTTGTAAAGAAATTTTGTTGTTGTTCATACAAAGGAATTTACATATCGATCAAGCAAAATCTTTTACTTTTATAAACTGTTTAAAGCGTCAGTATTTCTGTGAAACACTATTGGAATGTCTGCTTTATTATGAAGACTACTAAGTAGTAGTTGCTAAGGCGAGGAAGAAGTTTCGAAAAAGAATGTATGTCTTGTTTAGTTTGCCAAGTTTAAAGGAATTTCATTTGTGTACTTTATCCATCAAAGGAATTTTTGACATTCGATATATGTTAGTGTGTATATGAACATATTTATAGGTGTATTAGGGTAGTTATTTTAGAATGTTTTGGAGTTCGAAATTATATCTATATTTATGTGATATGAATCCCTTTTTACTGTATGTTGTCATCAGACCTTTAATTATTCTCAAATTTCAAAATAAAAAATATATTTTCAAAAATCCACCCTAATATTGCATTTGTTATGGTATTTATGACAAGTTTGAATACTATTGAAAGGTTGTTTTGGCTTTTCTGGCCATAAAGCGGAAAAACGTATTGAATTTAAAGACTTTGCTCTATATTTAAAGGTATTGGGGGTTTAGTGTAACGTTTAACGTTTAAAAATATTTACGGGCAAGAAAACCTTTTACTGTAATTTGAGTTTGAAAAGTAATACTTGTCTGTAGTAAAGTCGAGATATAGTCTGTGATATACTCTTGCCTATAGTACGGAGCATAGTCTGTTCTATAGTCAAAACTTCACTAACTAACTAACTAACTAACTAACTAACTAACTAACTAACTACTAACTAACTAACTACTAACTAACTAACTAACGAACTAACTAACTAACTAACTAACTAACTAACTAACTAACTAACTAACTAAGACTAACTAACTAACTAACTAACTAACTACTAACTAACTAACTAACTAACTAACTAACTAACTAACTAACTAACTAACTAACTAACTAACTAACTAACTAACTACTAACTACTAACTAACTAACTACTAACTAACTAACTAACTAACTAACTAACTAACTAACTAACTAACTAACTAACTAACTAACTAACTAACTAACTAACTAACTAACTACTAACTAACTAACTAACTAACTAACTAACTAACTAACTAACTAACTAACTAACTAACTAACTAACTAACTAACTAACTAACTAACTAACTAACTAACTAACTAACTAACTAACTAACTAACTAACTAACTAACTAACTAACTAACTAACTAACTAACTAACTAACTAACTAACTAACTAACTAACTAACTAACTAACTAACTAACTAACTAACTAACTAACTAACTAACTAACTAACTAACTAACTAACTAACTAACTAACTAACTAACTAACTAACTAACTAACTAACTAACTAACTAACTAACTAACTAACTAACTAACTAACTAACTAGCTAACTAACTAACTAACTAACTAACTAACTAACTAACTAACTAACTAACTAACTAACTAACTAACTAGCTGACTACTGCAGACTATACTCCAGATTATACGCCAGACTATAGTCTTTGCTTCAGTCCAGACTACAGCCTTTGTTATAGTTCAGACTATACTTGATATTCCTGAGAATTTCTGGAGTTTGGACTATAGACTAGAATATAGTCTGGACTATAGAATAGACTATAGTCTGGACTGTAGAATAGACTATAGTCTGGACTATAGAATAGACTATAGTCTGGACAATAGAATACACTATAGTCTGGACTATAGAATAGACTATAGTCTGGACTATAGAATAGATTATAGTCTGGACTATAGAATATACTATAGAATACTATAGTCTGGACTATAGAAGCCTTTTCTATAGGCAAGAAGTCTTTTCTATAGTCCAGAGTATAGCTTTTTATATTCCAGACTATTGCCTTCATTACACTCCAGACTATAACCTTTTATCTATAGGCCACACTATAGCGATTTCTACAGTTCAGACTATAATCTATATAGCCCAGAATATAGTGTTTTCTGTATGCCAGGCTATTTTGTAGTCATTTCTTTAGTCCAGATAGTTATTTTATCTGTGATCTAGACAAAAGTCTATTTTATATTCCAGATTTTAATCTTTCATATTAAAGCATCTAGTCAGTATCATTGTCCAGGCTATAGTTTGTTCTATAGTCCGGAATGTAGGTCAGTTCCAGTCTATAATCTAGCTCTAGTTTGTTGTATAAGCAAGACTATTATTTGTTCTATAGCCATAATTAAGGCTGTTCTATAGTCGTCCAGTGGTATAGTCTTTTCTATAAACGAGTTTATAATCCGTACTGTAGTCTAAACTAACTATAGACTAAATTTGATTATTCTGTAGTCGAGAACACAGTCTAAACTATAGACGGGAATATAGTCTATTCTACAGTAGCGATTATAACTTATCATTATTATAACCTCGAAAATATATTATTTATTGTTTTCGGAAAAAGTTTCATTTTAATAATTTCACACTTATTTATAACTAGTCAAACTTTTCCAAAACTATTTCGCCAAATTATAAATCA